ATACTATAAGGAAATAGAATACCACAGTGATTAAATTAGTCAGAATTTGACACTTAAAATTCAACATAAAGTTCATTGTTTTTTCTCCCCTTGACTTTATTGTTCTTTGGGAAAGCACAGCATAAAACACAGCTTTGAAAGAGCGAGCCTTGGGTTGGGGGCTCTGGGTTTTGAATTCCAGAACTGAAAAGACAAAAAAAACTACAAAACTCCAAAAGGAATTAGAAAAGAGGATTTAAAGTAATTCAAGTATATTGTTAATGAATAAGGAAAACACCCAGGACATTTCATAAAACATTATTGGAGTTGACTTCTGTTGATGTTCCTATAACATTGGTCCTCCACTGTATAGAAACACAGTGAGCTAACAGACACAGGGGTGTGTTTTCTTCATAGCTATGGAAGAAAGGAAGAATTCTCCAGATGTACCTAGGTATCGTTTCAGACTAAGGAGACAGCATATCCTCTTTTTTTCTCTTTTCTTCCCTTCCTTCCTTCTTTCTTTTTTCTTTTTATTTTTCTTTCTTTCTTTTCTTTTTTTGCCTTTCTTGTTTTTATTTTTCAGACAGGTCTTGCTGTGTTATCCAAGTTGGTCTTGAACTTCTGGACCCAAATGATCTTCTGTCTGTCTTAGCTTTCTAAATAGCCTGACTACAGATGGGAGCCATCAGTCCTGGCTTTTCTTTCTTTGTGCTGTTGAGCCAGAACCAGAGCCTGGACATGTTAGATAAGGTCTGCCACACAGCTACATAGAAGTATTTTTTTTAAATTTAAAGACACAGTCTTGAGTCTTGCTATGCAGTCCAGACTCGTGTGAAACTCCTGATCCCTCTGCTTAAAAAAGTTCTATTAAGCTATTTCAGGCATTAAAAAGGTATAACCAGGAGGCCAGAGAGAGTATGCGCTGCTCTTCCAGAGGACCTGAATTTGGTTCTCAGCACCCATGCTGGGTGGCTTGCAACCGTGTAGCCCCAGCTCCAGGGTACCAGGGTCCAGTCTCCCTGGGTACCTGTGTAGACATAGCAGACACACATACACTTTTGAACATCTTTGAATTGGCAGGGCCGATGAGCTGCTCCGAGGAAAGGTGCTTATTGCCAAGCTGATGACCTGAGTTCAAGCCCTGGGGCCCACATGGCAGAAGAGAACGGACTCCCCAAGGCTGTCCTCGGCTACTCCGTACTGTAGCTTTCTCCTGAGGGTGAAGCAGTCTGAGCCAACTTTCCAAGCCGCATAGTGCGTGCAAGGAGGATCAGGGCAGTCTCTCATTTCGGGGAGTTTGCTATTGAGTTTTCCAAGCAGATTGTCAAGAAACTGATTATTTAAAACTCAGAAAAAAAGACATGGAACAAAAAGAAGATCTGAGGGCAGAAAGCATCTTTCATAAGAATCGCGGTGTAACCTGCAGGCATGAAGTGTTTTCTAGGGTAACTAGACATTTCTTCAATGCTTTTGATGGGTCATTGTTCTTAGATAGCACTGGCTTTCTCAGTTACCTTTTGGAAATTGTTTAGGCTAACACATATGTAATTTATCTAAGGAAAAAATGTAACACGTTCAGATTAGTCCTTTGTGTGTGTGGGTAGGAAATCAATGTGTGTCTCAAGTGTTTTCTACTATTGCTCTCCATGTTTTTTCTTTTTTTGAGATAGGGTCTCACTATGTACCTCTGGCCAGAAATGTCCTATGTAGACCAGATCCATATGCTTTTACTCCCTGGGAGCTGAGATCAAAGGCTGGTGCCCCCCTACATGGCACTACCTTGTTTTTTGAGATAAGGTCTCTCTATGAACATGGAGCTCACCAATTGGCTAGACTGGCTGGCCAGAGGGATCCTAGGTTCATCCTTTCTTCATCAAGAGCTGGAATTATAGGCATGCACTCTGTACCCAATTTTTTAAAAAGATATATGTATGCATGTATGTATACAGTGTTCTTTCTGCATGCATGCCTGAATGCCAGAAAAGGGCATCAGATCTCATTACAGATGATTGTGAGCCGCCATGTGACTACTGAGAATTGAACTCAGGACCTGTAGAAGAACAGCCAGTGCCATTAACCACTAAGCCATCTCTCTAACCCTCTATACTAAATTTTTTAAAAAGATTTTTAAAATTTATTATGTATACAACATTCTGCCTCCATGTATGCCCACATTCCAGAAGAGAGCACCAGATCTCATTACAGATGGTTGTGAGCCACCCTGTGGGTGCGGGGAATTGAACTCAGGACCTCTGGAAGAGCAGCCAGTGCTCTTAACCACCGAGCCATCTCTCTAGCCCTTAAAAAGATTTTTTTAAACATGTGTGTATACTTGTGTTAGTTTGGGTATACTACATAGATCAGAAGCCCATGTGGGCCAGACGAAGGCCTCAGATGCCTTGGAAATGGAACTGCAGGAAGCTGTGGTCTCCATGTGAGCTCTGGGAGCCAAACCTGGGTCCTCTGCAAGCACTCTTAGCCCCTGAGCCATCTATACCCCTCTACGCCCAAACTGTATGTAGTTGGTGGGGATCCAAACTCACTTTCTCAGCTTTGCCCACTGATCTATATCCCCAGTTCCCAGAATAGTATTTTGAATGCAGATTTAAAAAGCAGTGGCTGTAACAGGAGGTGATTCACTGAAATGAGGTAGACCAGTTAACTGAAAGTAGCACGGGGAGGGGGGGGGGCGTTTGCACCATCACGTTTGGTTTCGGCCGTATATTGGATTTTTCTCGTCAGTTTTTCTTTACGCTACATCAATGACTGGTAAAGTAGGTGACTCAGAATGTGTTTTTGGTAGAGAAGTCTGCTTGTGATAGGGTTATTCAGAGCATGACATTAATGGGCAGCTACAAATAGGAAGGAAATCAAGTAGCAATTGCAAAATATTTTATTTTTAGGGATCATGTTTTGCAATACACTTATTTGCTGAAAAGCCTCCCATGGGTGAGAGGAACAGAAAGCTCTCTCTTGTCTATTTTATCAATGGCTGTCACTGGCTAAGGCATCTACTTCTGTGGAGTAAGTATAGTTTAATAGTATGGCTTAACTAAGACAGCTTAGGAAGAGTTCATTCTTAGGAGGCTGGGTCACTGCTTTGATTCATTTGGTGGCTTGGGAGAGGATTTATTATGAACTTCTAAAATGGAAACTCAATACGATGTGCTAACAGACTAGAAATGGTGAAGTTTTTTTTATTATTATTTATTTATTTGGCTATATCTCCTTCCTCCTCTCTCCTTCCCATCCTTCCTTTTCAGTGCTGGTGATCAAGTTCAAGTTCAGGACCTTGTATATGACAGGCAGGTGCTCTTCTCTAAGTTACATCATTAGCTGGTCCTTTACATTGCTGTATGTATGTATGTATGTACGTACGTATGTATGTAGCATGGGTTCCAATTGGTCTTAATAATAAAACTCTGAGTCAGCTATTGGGGGTGAGAGCTGAAGGATCAGAGAAGCAGAGTGGCAGCCACTGGAGTTCTTACCTCTGCCAATGCTCAGACTACAGGGGCATCCTTTCCTCAGACTGCATCTGTCTCTCTGAAACCTCAGACTGCACTGAACTCCTGTCTCCTCCTGCCTGATAGTCTTCTCTTTGCCCAGCCATATCACTCCTGTCTCCACCCCCCTACTACTAGGATTAAGGGTGTGTGATCCTGAGTGATAGGATTCCCTCTGTGTGAGCTCTGTTTCTCTTTTAGACTGGATCAGTTTCGTGTAGCCCAGGTTGGCCTTGAACTAACAGAGATCCATCTGTCCCCGAGTCCTGAGAGTGAAGGTGTGTGCCTCCATTGCTTGACCTCTAGTGGCTTAGCTCTGCACTCTGATATCAGGCAAGCTTTACCTTTTATCTATCTATCTATCTATCTATCTATCTATCTATCTATCTATCTATTGTTTTTTTTGAGACAGGGGTTTTCTTGTGGCTTTGGAGCCTGTCCTGGAACTAGCTCTGTAGACCAGGCTGGCCTCAAACTCACAAAGATCTGCCTGCCTCTGCCTCCCGAGTGCTGGGATTAAAGGTTGTGTGCTACTACCACTCAGCTGCAAGCTTTACTTTTTAAAACACAAACAAAACATCACTACATATGTATACATGTATGCATGGATGTACATGTGTTTGTAGAGACAGAGTCACAGGCAGTCCAGACTGACCTTGAGTTCTTTATGTAGTTGAGGATAACCCTGAATTTATGATCTTCTTGCTTCTATCTCCCAAGTGTGCAGGCCTGGTTTTATACAGTGTTGGGGATAGAACTCAGTGCTTCAAGAATGCTAGACAGACACTCTGTCAGCTGAGCCGTAGCTCCAGCTCATCTTGTAATTTTAAAAATTCTTTGTCCGGGCAATGGTGATGCACACCTTTAATCCCAGCACTCAGGAGGCAGAGACAGGTGGATCTCTGTGAGTTCGAGGTCAGCCTGGTCTTCAGAGCAAGTTCTGGGACAGTCTCCAAAGCTACACAGAGAAATCCTGTCTCAGAATACAAAAACAAAATTCTTTTATGATATCATGTATGTGGGTGTTCTGTCTGCACGTGTGTCTATGCAACACTTGCACGCCTGGTGCTTGTGGATGTCAGAAGAGAGCACCAAATACCCCGGAACTGGAATCACAGTTGTGAACTGCCACGTGGGTGCTGGGAATAGGATCCAGGTCCTCCGGAAGAGCAGTCAGTGCCCATGGAGGCCCAAAGAGAGCTGGATCCCCTACAGTGGGAAGGAGTTGAGGTCCCAGGGGACTGTGAACAGCTTTATCCAGTGGGTCCTGGGAACTGAACTCGGGTTCTCTGTAGGAGCAGCGTAGTCTTAACCACAAAGCTATCTCTTCAGCCTCTTATTCTGCAAGACTTTTGTTGTTAGTGTCCTGCTGTGTAGGCCAAATTGGCCATGAACTTGGACTCTTCCTGTCTCAACCTGGAGTTACAAACATGCACTGCCACACCTAGCTGGAAAACTGCTTTATCTGTGCTGGCATTTTTAAATAAATGGACAGTACTCTCTATGAGCTAATTGGTATAATATTTATTATCAGTTACAGAGATACAAAAATGTATATTACAATATTGGCAATTTTCATAAAGCACAACAAAATGAAGCCTGTGCCATTACATATACCTGTGACCCTATTACTTGAGATGCAAAAGCAGGAAGATGGAGAGTTAAGACTAACCTGGGCTACACACTGAGACCCTGTCTCAAAAATAAAATAAAAAGCGCCAAAACACACACCAAAGAACAAAGGAAGATTCATTAAATGTATCTAGGTCTCTCCAGTGACGACTCTGATAAATACGAAATTAGAAACATTCATTTTATTTGATGCATATGAATGTTTTGCATATGTGTATGTGTCTGTTGTGCACCACATACATGCCATGCCTGCTGTCTGCAGAAGTCAAAAGAGTGTGCCAGCTACCCTAGAAAATGAGTTTACAGATGGCTGTGAGCCACCATACGGGTACTGGGAATCAAAGCCAGGTATTCTGCAAGAACAACCAGTACTCTTGACCACCGAGTATCTCTTCGGCCCCAAGTCAAATTTCTTTTTTTTTTCTTTTTTTGATTTTTCTAGACGGTTTCTTTGTGTAGTTTTGGCTGTCCTGAAACTTGCTCTGTAGACCCAGCTGGCCTCGAACTCACAGAGATCCACCTGCCTCTGCCTCCCGAGTGCTGGGATTAAAGGTGTGTGCCACCACCGCCCAGCTCAGCAAATTTCTTAGCAAAGGAATACATAGACACAGATATTTTGATAGTTTTCTCATGTACTGTTTGCATTCTGCCTCTGTCTTCCAGTGCTGGTATTTCAGGCAGGCACTGCTAGACCCAGTTTCTTATGTCAGTGCTGGGTAAAGTCCTCAGCTTTCACAGCAAGAACTTCACTTACGAAGCTATCTCCTAGCCTTGTTAACCGATTATTATTATTATTATTATTATTATTATTATTATTATTATTATTATTTTGAGATATAGTCTCACTATGTAGAACAGGGTGGCTTTGAACTCATAGTTCTGCTTGCATTGCCTCTGTCTCCTGAGTGCTGGGATTAAAGGCATGCACCACCACTGCCCAGGCTGATGCTGGTATTAAAGGTATATGCCACCATGCCTAGCTCCAACCCTAATGTTTTAAAAATAAAATCAGTATGTAAAACAAACTTGGTTTCGTAAGTTGGGGAATCTTTAAAAACGACAGAAATACATTACAGTGATCACAGTTTATTGTTATGTTGTTTTATCTTTAAAACAGGCATAGTCTTATTGGCATACCTTTTGCTTTAAGTATCTACTGGTTATATTTAGTAAACCCTAGTGTCACACAGTTCAAACTTTAGAAATTAAAGTCCAGGTAAAAAAAGGACTCCGAAAGCTCATACCTCAAAGCATAACCGGTTAACGGAAAATATTAATGAGGACAGAGTAAGCATATTTACTCACATTTTAAACCTCTTATGAGTAGCTGTAACACAGTTTAGAACCTTCGCGAAAGGGAAACTACTTCCCAGGCGCCACGGTTTTCAGAAGCTGGCGAAGCCTCACAGAAGAGCCCCCAGGCTCTCCCGCAGGCATATTACCTTTCAATTTACATAAAATCCCTACGAACCTGGCTGTCTGAACATAAAAAAGCTGCAGAGGCAGGCATGCTATCAACCAACTGCAAGAACGGGTGACAGAAAAGGCATGAGAAACAGACACGGCTTTTAAAAACAGAAAACTGCCGGGCGATGGTGGCGCATGCCTTTAATCCCAGCACTCGGGAGGCAGAGGCAGGCGGATCTCTGTGAGTTCGAGACCAGCCTGGTCTACAAGAGCTAGTTCCAGGACAGGCTCCAAAGCCACAGAGAAACCCTGTCTCGAAAAACCAAAAAAAAAGAAAAATAAAAAAAATAAATAAAAACAGAAAACTAGGGTCACATAGAGAAATGGTAAGTGGTCTCAGTATTTGCTATGGATATATATATGTAGATATCTATGTCTCTAGATACATACATATATCTCTAGTATAATAAATACAATTCATAATAATGTCTATTAATTATTGGAAAGACATGTAAATATTAAATATGTTGCCTAAAAAGTAGAGCAATATATATTTTAGAACTATTTTCTTGTTTTTCTTTTTCTTTCTTTTTTTCTTTCTTTTTTTATTTTTTTGAGATAAGGTTTCTCTGTGTAGCCCTAGCTGTCCTGGAACTCCTTCTGAAGACCAGACTTGCCTTGAACTCAGAGATCCACCTGCTGCTGCTTCTGTGTGCTGGGATTAAAGGCGTGCACCACTACCTCCCAGCAGAATTATTTCTATTTAAAATGGTTAGAGTAAGTTTTACACCTTAAAGGGATAAAAGTGTGATTATATGGTCCATACTCCACTTATTCTCTGGTAAAGTGAGGCAGAGTCATTTCTTTAATGTAGAACTGACTGATCTCCATTTAACAATACTGTTCATCAAAAGGTACACAGTAAACTTAATAATCATCGGCTCCCTTATTTTCTAGGTTATATTTTCCCAAAGTCCCCTTTTCTCCTGAACTTGAATATGCTATGAAATCGTGAACTTTCCCTTTGAGAACCAGCAGTTCGTTTTGCATCTTTAGTAAGCTGTTGTCATACTGAATTCCCTCAAGGGTCTTCTGCATCTCCATTATTTCAGACACCGCCCTTAGCATATCGTCCTCCATGTTAAACATCTGCACAGTGAGGTCTTCCATTTTCTTTTCCGTCCCCATCAGGTCCCGAGAGACTCTGAGGACAGAGTGGATCGCATTTTCTATAGCTGGCAAATGGGCCTTGCACTCTTCAACTTTGGGTTCATAGTTGGCAAGTTTACTGGTCAGCTCCTCATCTCTGGCTAGGAGTGAATGTTGCTCTTCTTCTAGCTTCTCAACGGCTTTTGTATTGGAGCTGAGCTGGGCCTCTACTCGGAGAAGATCCTCCTCTTCTTGTCTGTTTACTGTTCTGATGTTTCGTAGTGTGCTGTCTTCCAAATCTTTTAGCCGTTCAGTGAGCAGTTTCATTTCTTGCTCGGCTGAGTTAATTTTCATGGTAACTTGAGAATGTATATGCTTTGCTTCTGATTTGAAAGTGGCTGTATTATTGCTCATTTCTGCCAGGGTTCTCTCCCAGAAATCTGTAATGGTCTGGAATTTCTCATTAAGGCTTTGCATCTTCTGAGTGAGCATCTCTTCACTGTCCTCAATGTCATGTATGGATCTTTGGAGGCCAGACACTTCCTGTTCAAACTGGGTCATCAAAGCCATGGATGGTGCAGCTTCCTGCAGGATACTTTCAGTAGACTCCAGCTGCATTTACGACACAAACAATCCCGAGCTACTTAATCATTTTTATATTAGAGAAACATATTTTAACAATCAGGAGTATGATACAAGGTTCAAATTCTGACGATACCTAAAATATCCAAGTACACCAGAATCACATGGACAGAAACATTCATCATTAATAGTTTTCAACAAATTTAGTAGAGTAGCCCTATGTTGGAAAAATATATTCTTGAACTCATAATCCTAGTTATTTAACATACCTTTTTCATGCGGGCATAGTTGAAAGAAATGATGTTCACGTTCTTGAAGTATACTGGGGTTTCTTTCTTCATGACAATGGGAAGTAACATAGGTGTCCTTTTCATGGCTATCTGGCTTTTAGGGAACTGCAACCGCATAAGACTTGCTACCTCTCCTAAAGCCTACAATTTTGTTAGTTTCTGGCTGAAAGAAGACGGGAGCATCTCCCCCAAGCAAGTTAATGAATGGATTACCTTGTCTGACATTAAACTGATGGTAGTCTGTAGTCCTTGAAACTCTTTGCTTTCTGTTTGCAGCGACTGGTATTGGGTTTCCAGCTTAGAAAACTTTTCTGATTGTTGAAATACAAGCCTGGAGAAGAAGAAAATAATGACCATCACTCGCTTCTGATAAGAACAAGGTGCATTCCCGAGCGGTTGCTGCAGTGTCCGTGGGCTGACCTCACCATCCAGGTGCCTACGGAGTGGGAGGGGACAGGATTAACTCAATGCAAAGATGAGTCAGCTTTGCCTCTTTCCAGGGTTCACAGCTCAGTGAGTGAAGCAGGGCAGCATCTCTAGTAGACGGACAAAAAATATTTTGGAAGAAGTTAGGGTTGAACTATTTGGAATAAAATCTTTGATCTCAAAGCGCAGTGCTACTAAGCTACTACTAAGTCCCTCAAACTATCGTCCAGACTATGTTATCCTCACCTGTAATTGTATGTTTCAGGGAAGCAGAGGCAGGAGGACCATAAGTTCAAGGTCATCCTCCATTACTTAGTGAGTCTAAGGCTCAAAGGTCAACTGGGGCTACATGAGACTCTGTTTAAAAACGGTTATAATAATAAAAATACAGAAGAGAGCCATTGTCAGAGTGAGAGGAGAACGCGCAAAGCAGGCTGTAAAAACTGTGTTTGACTATGCTCAGCAATACTCATAGCTGTACTGTAGCTGTCATTCTACAGTAGGGGGGCGGCCAGTTGATGAAGTGCTGGCCATGTAGGCATGAGGACCTGAGCATCATCCCTAGCACCCATTTAGAAAGCTGGGCATGGTGGTGCCCTTGTAATCCCATGAGGATCCGTCAGCCTTAGCTAATCAGTGAGACCCCCATCTTAGTGGGAGGCCCTTACTCAAAGCACATCTGAGGAGGGATGACAGAGGTGGACCTCTGACTTCCACACACACGCACACATACTCACGCGCACACTCACATACCCACACACAATTAGGGCTGAACGCAGTGGTAGGAAGGGTGCTTATCTGACGGGTAAAAGACCCCAGGTTGGAAGCCAGCACATATGCAAGCAAAGTTAGAGTGGTCTCTTCATCTGGTACATAGTAGAGTAGAAGCAAAAAAGGAAAAAAAAAATTATCCTTGGGCTGGAGAGAGGCTCAGTGGTTAAGAGCACCAGGCTGCTCTTCTGGAGGACACGGGTTCTATCCCCAGCACCCACATGGTAGCTCACAACTGTCTATAACTCCAGATCCAGGGGATCCAATGCCCTCTTCTCACCCGTACCAGGCACACATGTGATGCACATACCTGCAGACAAAATATTCACACACATTAAAAAAAATCTACCCCAATCTCTAAGAATCTAATGCTTTACTGAGTTAGCCAGACACCTTATCCTAATCTCTGAAACAATGTCTCGAAAACAACAAGAAAAAAGTGCCAAGAGCCCAGGATCTAGATTAGTGGTTGCAAATCTTCCCTACATATTGGAACCAATGACCAGACAGCTTCAACACACCCCTAACTGGACCGCCATTTACAGAAATTCTTAATTAACTAGTCATGGATATGGCTTGGACACTAAATAGTCTAACAGCTTCCCAGTCAATCAATGCAGCCAAGCTGAGGATCACTTACTGATCACACTTTATAGTACTTTTCTAGTGAAAGACAAGAGACGCCAAAGTTTCAGAGTTGAGAGGCCTCTCAGAGTGCAGCTGTGTGTATCCTCAAAAAGGTGCCTGTGTTTTGAACTTAAAATGGTCTCACTGGATTGAGTACTTGTAAGCCTGTGTAAATTTAAAATGGACACATTTGCTAAACAAATATTTACAGTGTTGGAATAAATAAGTTTCTTTTGATGATGCAGGTTAATGTCTATCATATAATCCCAGTTTATAGAATTAGCACAGCACTCAGGAGGCAGAGACAGGTGGATCTCTTTAAGTTTGACACCAGCCTGGTCTACAGAGCCAGTTCCAGGATAGGCTCTAAAGCTACAGAGAAACCCTGTCTCAGAACGCGCCCCCCCCCCCCAAAGGAATTAGTAGAGATCAATTTCTTTTTGTGTATTTATATAAACTTTTAAGCAAAACCCATGTAAAAAGCATGATTTTCCTAATTTTTAAAGTTGGATGATGATTAGACATTTTTTCCTTCCATCTTTTTGTTTTTGTTTTTTTTTTTTTATTTTTGTTGTTGCTGGGAACAAACCTACAACCTGGGGCATCCTGGGTAAGTACTCTCCTACATCCCATAATTGCTTTTGTCATATCATAATTTTAAGTGTTTTTCCCTCTTTAGTAGTATAGACTTACCGCCCAGTAAATGAGCTCATTTCAGTGACTAGTTTTATTATCTGTTATTGTATGTGTTACTCCACACACTTATCCCACAGAGGAGTAAGTTTACTCAGAACAAAAACATTACTACAGGAGGCTTTGAGTAAAAGTTGATCCATTATAAAAATGCTTTACTGTGCCTGGAAAAGGCGGTTCAATGATTAAGAGCTTTTGCTGTTATTCCAGAAGACCCAATTCAGTTCCCAGCAATGATGTCCAGAGGCAGACACCACACAGGCGCACACAGACACACAGACACACACACACACAGATTTAAAAAATAAAATAAAGCGTTACAGCACCTTTTTTCTCTTTTGTTTTTGTTGTTTGTTTTTGGAGGCAGTGTCTCATGTAGCCCAGGCTGGCCCCAAACCACTGTATAACCCAGATTAGCCTCTCCAGCCTCCCAAGTACTGAGATTATAGGAATGAACAACTAATGCCTGGCTGAAGGCTTTTGATTTTATTAGACATTTTAATGCTATCTACTGCTGGCTTTCTCTTCAGATTCAAGCATTAAGCAAGGCTTGAATAGTGTCAGGTGAGTGCAAATACCTCTGATTCTTTTCTCCTCCTCCTTTAGGTTAGCCTCTTGCCAAAGTAAGAGTCCCCCTTGTTACAAGTAGACAATACAAACAAGCAAAAAGCAGCATGCCACTGACTTAGTGCCAGTGAGGAGGAGAAAAAGACGGTCCACAGTGCTGATGACTTATAACGCATTTTCCACACGTAGATGCTGTGGGATGTCTGTGCACTGTGTGAAGGTGTATTGCTGTGATCGGTGTAATCAAGAGCTAAATGGCCAATAGCTAGGCAGGAAGAGGTTAGGTGGGACTTCTGGGACAGAGAGGATTCAGGGAAGAAAAAAGGCAGAGTCGCCAGCCTGGTGCAGAGGAAGCAGAGTGGGCAGTACAGAGTAAGGGTACCGAGCCACATAAAAGAATGTAGATTAAAAGATAAGGGTTAATTTAAGATATAAGAACTAGTTAAGAACAAGCCTAAGCTAAGGTTGAGCTTTTATAATTAATAATAAGTCTTGGTGTCATTAATTGGCTGGCAGCACAGATAAAGACTCATTGTATGTTTATATTTCATAAACATGGACTCATTTGAAATTATGGAAGAAAATGGTTTATTTTCTAGAAGTCAAGAAAGTATGCCCAAAGAGGGCTGCTTCGGCCCTGAAGAATCATGTTCTTCAAATGGCATCAGGTTTATGCCCAAGGTGTTTTATTCCTGTTAATGAGCCAGAGGCATCTTCTGACAGGAGCAATTCCCAGTCTTTGTCTTTAGACAAGGTTGTCAAAGACCTGAAATTAGAGTCAACAGCTTCTAGCAGAAGAAAGGTCTGATTCAGAACTGGTATGTGTGTGTGTGTGTTTACCTACATGTATGCATGCATGCATGTATGTATATGTATCACACATATGCCTGGTGCACGAGGAGGCTAGAAGTGGGGGTCAGAAGCTATAGACAGCTGTGAGTCATTATGTAGAGCTGGGAACAGAACCCGCATCCTCTCTGCAAGAACAGCAAGTACTCTTAAACCACTAAGCCATCTATCTTCTCCATTCCTCCATTCTCAGAATTTTCATTTATTTTCAAGACAGGGTCCCACAGTGTAGTCCTGGCTAGCCTGGAACTTATTATGTAGACTAGGTTGGCCTCCAACTCACAGAGATCTGCCTGTCTCTGGTTCCTGAGGGCTGGGATTAGAGGTGTGGGCCACTATGCCCAGCTTCTGAAACGTGATATTATTTTGGGTTAATACTGAAGGGAGGCAAACACATCACACAGGCTAAGTAGCTAGGCTGTTTTGTCTCTGCATTTACTGGTTGTATAACCAACCACGTTGGACAAATTAACTGTTTGGTTTGCTAGTGTTTCCTCACCTAGAAGGTAGGGAAAATTATATCTCACAGGGGTTTTGGAGACATAAAACAGGTTCATATTTATAGAACACAAGAGCAATGCTCGGAGTGTAACAAATCACTCGGGACCTCAGCACCCGCTGTTTAGTTCTGTCCCAGTGTCTTCCCTTTGGGGTGCAGAGGGTGAGACTCAGGGTGTCTTGGATGCTCCTTAGCCCTTCTTTTGGACCCCTTTGTGCTCTTTCCCATCTCGCCTCCATGCCAATGCTGCCTGTTTAAAGGCACGAGATTCCCTTCTGTTTGCTCTGGTCGAAGCTGTAAGCCTACCACTGAACTCTAAGCTGGACAGGGGGCTGGTTTGGTAACAAATGATCATCTGTAAGTCTCCATGGCAGCAGGACTTTGTTTTGGAACTTCACTATCAGAAAGGTAAGGCCTTAAGTGTTAGATGTAGGAGAAAGATACCCAGAAAGCAAACCAGCTTTTAGTGTAGGCCTTCCAAAAGCAATTTTCCTCACCCCTTCACATCCATGAAGTCTATCAAGACTTCGCACAAATTGAGGACCCCGTGTTAATGAACGGCACACAGCATAATCTCTGAGTGAGTTCTTACGTGGTGGCAGGCAGCTGACTGAGAATTTATGACTAAGGGATTTCTCTGCCTCTTTCAACTTAATGAGAAAGAGTACATAATCACAGGAAGCAGTTATTATGTATGGTTCATTACAGGGCCACTATTAGGGTCAACGACCATCCATTGTTTCATAGCATCTCCAGCTACTAAATATTTAAGGGAACACTGACTATATTCCATTATTTAATTTTTCAAAAACATTTATTATGTTTACAGTGTTTTGTCTGCACATATGCTTGCAGGCCAGAGGAGGGCACCAGATCTCATTACAGATGATTTTGAGCCACCATGTGGTTGCTGGGAATTGAACTCAGGACCTCTGGAAGAGCAGCCAGTGTTCTTAAGTGCTGAGCCATCTCTCCAGCCCCTATATTCTATTATTTAAAACCAGGGCAAGGTTGGGAATGGTGGCCCATGCCTGTAATCCCAGTCCTTCGAGGAGGAAGTACCAGGATTGCCATGAGTTTGAGGCTAGACTGGGTTACAATCTACCTACCCTAAGACTCAGCGCTACCACTCTTGTGTGTATACTTAGTCCTTAATGATGGAGCTGTATGAGAAGGATTGGGAGGTGTGGCCTTGTGTTGCGGAATATTTGTTTACACTGTGAAGATGTGTCTCTGCTAAGGCGCCTTCCAACTGGTTTAATGAAGAGCTAAATAACCAATAGCTGGTCAGGAAGAGGTTTGGCTGGACATCTGGGGACAGAGAGGACTCTGGGAAGAAGAGAGGAGATGCCAGGAGACACGGTGAGGAAGCAGGAGGTGCAAAGTATGAGAGGTAACACCACGTGATAGAACGTAGATTAATAGAAATGGGTTAATTTAAGTTATAAGAGCTAGTTAGGAACAAGCCTACGCTAAAGGCCGAGCCTTCGTAATTAAGAAGAAATCTCCGTGTCATTACTTGTGAGCTGGCTGCCCCCAAAATGTCCGATTGCAGCCTTGTTGGAAGAGGTGTGTCACTGGGTGAGCTTTGAGGTTTCAAAGCCCTTCCCATTTCTCCGTTAGTACACTCTCTGCTTCTTGCTTGGGGATCGGATTTAAGAACTCCACGACTGCTCCAGTGATATGCCTGCTCGGCACCATGCTCCCCTCCAATCATGGGCCAACCCTCTGCAACCATGAGGCTGAATTACATGCTCTTATAAGTTGCCTTGGTCATGGTGTTTTGTTGTGGCAACAGAAAAGTAACTAAGACAGAAAGTAAATCTAAACTTCAGTGGAAAGGTGAAAGCAATATACCTTTAGATTTGTCATGTACCTTGTACTTCCCAAACAATCTTCCAAACATTTATGGTTTCTGAGGACACACTGTCATCAGTGCAAGGGTTTGAGATCTTTGCCCCCTGCCTAGCTTAAGCGTACCAAGTATGAGATGGAAAAGCAGTTTATGCTGATACAATTATTTTCTGTTTTAACAACCAGAATAGACTAAGTACAGTATTTAATTTCTAGATCCTGAAGTATGTGTTAGAGGCTTACCTATGTGTTGTGTAGTGAGATCAATGACTGTTAAAATTCCAGAGTGCCATTAGCAATTTTATGAGATGGGAAATATTTGAGACACACTTGCAAATAGCCTGCTGGGTTAAAGTTTGTCCCTAAATTTACCATAAATATTTTCTTATAGACAGCACATATACTACAGTCTAGGGGTAAAATACTTCCCAAGAACAATTAACCATTAGCTGTTTTAGTAACAGTCAGAGGCTCTACCCATTTAAAGAATGCATAACCTTTTTTTTTTTTTATCTGATAAAGCTGGGAACAGAACCGAAGGCCTCATGATGTACATCAGGCAAGTCCCTTACCACCGAACTACACTCTAGCTTCATAATTTTGATCTGGCATTTTAAAAATCACTTTGCAAAGATAGAGCTCAGCTTATACAAAAATCTTTCTAACGAGTAACATGTTTTGCCTTTCTATTCCCTAACACCACATTCCTGAGATGAAGCATGACTTTTCAAGTTTTATTCTTAGTTTCCCTTTGAAGCTCGAGGGTGTGAATGTGTGTGTCTGTGTGTCAGAGGCGGGGGTTGGTTGTCTTTCTCAATTGCCCTCCACTTTATGACTATTTTTCATTTGTGTGTGGGGTCTCAGATGTTTCACTGAGCATGTATGGAGGTAAGAGGACAACTTTTAGGACTCGATTCTCTTCTTCCACCTCGTGGGTGCAGGGGATGGAATTCAGGCTGTCCTTTGGTTTGGCAGGGCAGGAGCATTTACCAGATAAGCCATCTTGCTGGCCTTGTTGAACACCTTTTTGAACTCTCATAGAATCACTGAAAATGCTGAATGAGTTTTGTGATATAGTTTACTTCATGAATTATGAGGCTTTCTCTAATTAATGGGAACTGCATTAATAAATTTAGCAGCTAAAACCACTAAATAATTTAACTAAATAAATTAAGCAGTGGTTCCCAACTTTCCTAACACTGTGACCCTTTAATACAGTTCCTTATGTTGTGGTGACCCCAACTACAAAATTATTTTCATTGCTACTGTAATTTTGCTACTGTTATGAATTGTAAATATCTGTTATGTGACCCCAAAGGGGTTGCGACACACAGGTTGAGAACTGCTGTCCTAGAGTGAACCAACTCAGTAATATTCTTTTCCAGTCCAAATTGTACCATGCCCTCCTTTACCTAAAAAAGGGCACAGAGTTTAAGACATGAGTAGTTTATTTAAAACAGCAAATCCAACACATTTATTCTCTTCTGATAGAAATTAATATATTCCGCAAACACTAATACCATCATTAAATAAGTCCCTTTTAAAGAGAACAATGACCCCCATTTCATTTTAACACGTTTTTATTAACTGGAAAAAACAACAACCCAGCAAACAAGAAGGGTATGGTGGCAAATACCTGTAATCTAGCACTTGGGAGGCGAAGGCAGGTGGATCAGGGGTTCAATGTCATCTTCAGCTACACAGTGACTTCTAGCCCAGCCTAGGCTACCTGAGAACCTGTCACAAAAAACCAAACCAACCACCCAACCACACACCCTCCAAAACCCCAGTTCTTGGGGTGTCACCAGTAAACTAAAATGGAAATGTACTAGCATTAAAAATGTTCTAGACTGCCGGGCGATGGTGGCGCACGCCTTTAATCCCAGCACTCGGGAGGCAGAGGCAGGCGGATCTCTGTGAGTTCGAGACCAGCCTGGTCTACAGAGCTAGTTCCAGGACAGGCTCCACAGCCACAGAGAAACCCTGTCTCGAAAAACCAAAAAAAAAAAAAAAAATGTTCTAGACTGAAGGCTATCCGGAGTCGCTTCTGAATCTATCAGCTCTCTTACTAAATGATTATCAGTGATGAAAATGTATTAACGTATCAGTTTTGTTACGAAGATGCAGTAGGTAAGAAATAGGGAAGAAAACAAAGTCACTCTTACTTTAAGATTATTCCATATTACACGAATACATCACCAATATATGCTTGGTTTCAACACTACAGATGTTTAGTCTTAAGTGAAAACAAGTATCCTTTATAATGCTACATACCGTTCAGCCTGTAATTAAGGAATAAGGCTATTGTCTCCGGGTTGGCGCGATGGCTCAGCTGCTCAGAGCATGCATGCCTGGTGGCTTACAACCATTTGTAACCTCAGCTCTTGGGATCTGACACCCTCTCGTGGGTTCCTTGCACGCCTTCACACACGTGCACAAACGCCTTCACACACGTGCACATACACACACTCATATATATACATACAAACTCTTTTTTAAAAAGGACTATAGTTTTAATGTAGGCACACTGTTCTAAATATGAGGATGCCTCATCAGCATTTATTGCTCAGCAACAACGAACTCTTTTTTAGGCTCCAGACATTTCCCTGGTGCATGTCTTTTGGGGTGCGGTGGGGCGGGGCAAACTCATATGCAAAGTTGCAGAGTGGACGGGAAGTAGCGGTTTTCAGCTATGTGCAAACTTGTGACGTGTGGACAGTAGGCGCGGAATAAAGTGTGCACCGCGTCTCGGGTGACTCGTTCCCAGACTTTCGGAGACAGCGACAGGAGCATGCTAGCTAGCAGAACAGTTAAGTGAGCGCATTCAAGCAAGAGTGGGTAGGCGGCCTGCGGCACTGAGCACTTACCAGGCCAGGCCCAAGCACGTCGCCAGCGACAGCAGGCTGAGCCCGGTGCGGGGGTCCGCCCAGCCCGCGCCTCCCCTCGCCTCGGGGTTCTTCCTGCCATCGCTCCGCTTCTCGGGCTCGCCGGCAGCCCCCTTGGGCCCCGGCTTCTTCCGGCTCTTCACCTCGGACATGTCTGGGACCCTGAAGACCTCCAAGCCCGGGATGCCTCACCGGGGGTACCGTGGGACGTGGCTGCGCCTGGGCTTCAGGAGCCCCGCCCCTTCCCAGGCTTGGCTCCGCCCACCGAAACCTCGCCCTTCGGCTCGCCCCGCCTCCCGCCTCCGGGTTCCGCTACCAGACCCAGTAAGGGGAAACTCAGACTCTCCGGCGTGCGCCGGCTGCGGGGACGCGACGAGAGGGGCGGGGCCGAGCGCGCCACGTCCGGGCTGGGCGCGCCCCCGCGCCCCCCCCCCCCGCGTCTTAGCCCCGCCCCTCTGCGCACGCGATGATGCAATCCCAGGGCCTGCGGGCACGCGCCGAGGGTAGCGTCGGTAGCGGGGTGGCGCGCGCCGGGCGGCCGGCCCTCTGGCGGCGGATTTGCGTGCTCGGGCGCGCGCCGTCCGGGCTGGGCTGGGCGGGGCCCAGCGGTGTTTGAGCGCTCCGCGGGCCTGAGGTGGAGATCCAGAGGTTGCGAGTGGGCGAGGCGGCTCTGTCCGCTTTCCGAGGGGTGGGAGACGGGGGTCGGCAGCGGGAGGTGTGTGCGGTCCGCGTTCGGAGACGATCGGAAACGATCGGAGACCGTCGCTTCAGCCTTCGGAGCGGCGTCCGCTTACCGCCCGGGCAGCTCCCGCCGGAGGGGAGACGCGGCGGCCGGAGTGGCAGTGCTTTTGTGTTTGGGTCGAGCGAGGTCTCTCGAGTGCGGCCTGAGGCAACCGGTGGGGTCAGCCCGCCGAGGTGACCGTCCCTCGCCGTCGCTCGCAAGTCCCGGGCATCCCTCTGCGCCCCGAGCGGCCGATGCCCAGGTGAGGCACCTGAGGTATCGGGACCTGCCCGGGGCGCGGGGTCGCTGGAAGAGCAGCTGGGAGCCCCGGGTGCACTAAGGCGATCGAGCCTCAGCTTCGGACCCTCCCGGGGCTCCTCTTCCCAGCACGACCTCGGTGCAAAGGTTTTGGGTAAGTTTACCTCCCCTCTCGCTCTATCTTTCCCCACCCCATCTAGACAAGTTCTTGGTGAGAGTTCTGTTGCAGAACCCGGGGGCTGAAGATAAGGGAAGCGGGATATTTGATCATTCTGCTCCCGTGCCAGGAAGAGAAATTATGTAAGGAGGAAGTAGACCTGGACAGACAGACTTTATTTTGTGTTCTATGTCTCCGAACAGTTTGACTTTCTCTTTTGATGTGGCCTCCAGAGGTGTGGCACCGGGAGTTTGCCCATAGCATTTCAGTTTGTGTAAAGTTTGAAAAAAGTGTTTAGTAAGTTTAATAAGGCTAGAGAACATTGGAAATTAGTTGCAAAGTGTGGTTTTGCTTAATTGTTAAACATAACCTAATATCCTTTGTCAGGATGAATTTCACAACTGTCAATCGAGACTAAAACTGTTAGCTTTGAAAATGATAGGCTTGCTTCTGATTTCTTTTCCCCAGTTAACTTCATTCCCCTCCTGGGCATTTTACAGACCTTGGCAAGCACAAACAGACGCATTTTTTAATTTTTATTTTTTGCAAGTGCTACATTTGATGACTTTACAAAAAAAAAGTTTTCTTTTTTTAAAGTTGGATGATACCCCTCTTCCGAGCTCTCTGAATGACTTTGTGCCCATCTTTGATTTTGCACTAGGATAGTCACATTCTGATTGCTTCTTTTTTTGTTCTACTATCCTTCAAGGATATGAGTATCAGGATATGATGAAAGAGGGCTGAAATTATGTAGTACGGGTGGTAGATTGTTTGCCCACCCTGCAAATTAAGGCGGTTGGTTCAATCCCTAGCAACACACACACACACACACACACACTCCATGTATTGAAGGAATGATTAAGCCTATTTAAGGCGTTCACACTTTAATACATAGGATGGAGTTCTGTTAATGTTTTAGAACTTGCAAACAGTCAGAACTGGGCTTTATACCCCTGGAATAATTTCCATTATATTTTAGGGAACTTGTTAGGAAATGGCAATATCTTTCTGTAAAGAATATCATCCTTTGTTACCATAGTCCAAGCAATGACGTTGGAGGGTATTTCCTGTGGTTCTGTGAGTATGTGCTTTCCAGTGAAGATCTGGGACTGACAACTCCTTTGAGAAGTCAGAGCAGCAATGCCACTTGGTTGTAAGTTGGATAAAGGAAACAAGTTTTAAAACTTTAGGTATGGTAACTTTTACAGAACCTCAACTTAAGAAAAGGAAGAATTTTTACTGTAAAAAGTGGCAATGTCTATTGAAAAGAATGACTATAAAATTATAAAAGAAAGCCAAAATCTTGCTACTCAGCCTCCCAAACACTGATGAACAGCATTTAAGCATCCTCTTCTAGATTGATGAGCTAGAACACATTTTGTGCTATTTGGGGTTTTATTTCTCTTTTTTAAATCACCAGTGCCAGAAACATCTTTCCTTGTCAGTACATATAATGCATAGAGATATGAGCTATGTAATTTTAAATGGCTATGTAATGTTCCATTTTCAATAGAAACATAATTAAGAAATAAGAAGTCAGGCAGAGGTGGTACACACCGTTAATCCTAGCCCTTGAGAAGTGGAGGCAGGTGGATCTCTGAGGTCTCTGAGTTCGAGGCCAACCTAATCTACAGAGCTAGTTTCAGGACAAGCAAAGGCTGCACAGAAAAACCCTGTCTCATAAAACCAAAAAAAAAAAAATCTTGCTTTCTTTGCATTTCTTGATTACATGTCATGTTTCTTGTCGTGACAAGTGTGTTGATATGTTGTCTGTAGCTCATGCTTAGCAGTGAAGTGGGTACACAGACTGAAGGACAATGGATGCAAAGGCCCGGAATTGTCTGCTTCAACACAGAGAGGCTCTGGAAAGGGACATCAAAACATCCTACATCATGGATCACATGATCAGCGACAACGTTTTGACGGTAGTTGAGGAGGAAAAAGTGAGGAGCCAGGTAAAGCCCTCTGAGGCGGCTTATACGTCTTTAAAGTTTCCGGTGCCCTCAGGACTTGGCCCAGGCTCCGCTAATTTGTGCTGCCGATGTATGCACGGCTGCATCCTTACCTATCTCATTTTTCCCAGACCACTCAGTACCAACGAGCCGCTGCTCTGATCTCGATGATACTCAATAAAGACAACTGTGCCTACATTTCATTCTACAACGCTCTCCTGCACGAAGGATATAAAGACCTTGCCGCTCTTCTTCACAGTGGCCTTCCTCTCATCTCTTCTTCCAGTGGCAAAGACACAGACGGCGGGCTAACGTCATTTGGTGTGTATCCCTGATACCCCGTGTCACGGCGCTGCCATCATCGTGGCTCTGTTTGCAGGTTTGATTGCAGTTGAAGTGCTGGAGAGTGTATTTCCGTTCCCGGAAGGAAGCAGGCGCAGAAATAGTTTAAGTCCAAATCTGAATTATTTGTGTCCATGTTGATACAGGTTTTTCTCGTGTAGTGAACTACTTACTGCTGAGGGGTAGCATATGCGCTCTAAATTCTATAGCTAATAAGAGCGTTTGCAGGGCCTCAATTATTTTCTTAATTTGCGTGTTGTATAGAGTTTATAAGACAGGAAAAGAATTTTTAGAAATTTACATTTTTTTTTTTTAAATTTCATCTTATGTGTCTGCCTGCTTTACCTGCATGTATGCCTGTGCACCGTGTGTATGCCTGGTGTCCTCAGAGGCCAGAAGAGGGCGTTGGATCTTCTAGAACTAGAGTTACAGACCATTGTGAGTGGCCATGTGGGTGCTGGGAATGGAACCCTGGTCTTCTAGAAGAACAGCCAGTGCTCTTAACCATTGAGCCATCTCTCCAGCCCAGAAGCCTATGTTTTTGAAAGGAATTCCATAACCATTGTTCCCTTTACATTCTTTCCAGAGTTAACAAGTTTTTTGGTTTTTTCACATTTATTTATTGTGTGAGCCATGGAGCCCAAGAAGAAGTCAGAGGACAACCTGTGGGAGTTGAACTCAGTTCCTCAGACTTGGCAGCGAGTGCATTTGCCTGTTGAACCATTTTGGTCCTCATCCTTCCCGTTTTCGTTTTTTGTGGCGCTTGGGATTAAACCCACAATCCTGACCTTGCAAACTCAGCTGCTGGACTGTACCCTTGGTTCTTCCCATTGTTAGACACAGACAAAAGAGGGCTGGAGAGTCAGGGAGTAATCGTGTGTATAAGGCAGGGATAGATGGAGACTTCCACTGTGTGTCGTGATCTTGAAGACTATAATATGCATACTCGTGTTCTTTGTGTTATGAGACATTGGAAGGGTGAAATTCACACCTAATTTTTTTTATATATATAAAATTTTGATATTCGTGTGAGTTCGAGCCCAGCCTGGTCTACAGAGCTAGTTCCAGGACAGGCTCCAAAGCCACAGAGAAACCCTGTCTCGAAAAACCAAAAAAAAAAAAAAAAAAAAAAAATTTTGATATTCGTCTTGGAAATTTTGAGGTTAAGCATCAGCCTCGCTTATCCTGGTTTTCCCAGAGGGTTACTCACCAGTTTTGCAGTTTCATTCATCCGTACTTGTTTGGGCTTTCAGTGAGGACCGTGCTGTGCGAAGGTGGAGTACCACAGAGGCCGGTGGTTTTCGTTACTAGAAAGAAGCTGGTGAAGGCGATTCAGCAGAAGCTCTGGAAGCTGAGTGGCGAGCCAGGGTGGGTCACCATATATGGAATGGCGGGCTGTGGGAAATCTGTGCTAGCTGCTGAAGCGGTTCGAGATCACGCCCTCTTAGAAGGTAAGTTTCATCATTGCAACACTGCTTTTCAAGATTTTGTTTATTTGAGCACTGAAATTCTTATTTATTGTTGCTCTTAGGCATTCCTGTGGCTGCTGGTAATAAATGACCACAAATTTAGTGACTTTAAGTAACGTACATCTCTTGTCTTAAGGTTTTTTTTCTTTTTTTTTGTTTTTTGTTTTTCGAGACAGGGTTTCTCTGTAGCTTTGGTGCCTGTCCCGGAACTAGCTCTTGTAGACCAGGCTGGCCTCGAACTCCCAGAGATCCGCCTGCCTCTGCCTCCCGAGTGCTGGGATTAAAGGTGTGCGCCACCACCGCCCCGCTGGTTCTTTTTCTTTTAAACTAGATTGGAGTCAAAGTGTTAAGACTGAAT